CTCGTCTTGCCCCTTGATGCTTAAGTTAGCTGTAGACCATGACATTTAGGGGCCCTAATTTCGAGGAGCAATAGAGGAATCTGAGCATACTGTCGATTCTGAATGAGGATGAAAGAAAGGACCATGGCTGCTTCCTGCCTTTTGGCACTGACTCGATGGACGAAGGCGTTGGAAGGCCGGCGCGGATGAGGTCGGCTAGTTTCATGGACCATGAAGCGGCCCAAGCTTCGTGGAGCCGCAGCTCTGCTTATCGCCACGTGATCACGAATTTTCATCTTATCAGCCTTACCCCACAAATCGACTTTGTCAGATTGTAATTAGGTAGAGTGCCTGGGCTCGCTTACGTTACTGTATTGGTTCAGAGGTTGGTCCATACTTTCGCTCACTACCGTAGCTTCTTCCAATAATAATGCACCTCAAAATCTCTCACGAGTTTGTCCTCCGCACAAGAATCATTTATGGAGAGACACTTCACTCTAGCTTTTTACTTAGACTAGCATTTTGCATCTTTACAGAGGATGTATAGAGTATCAACACTTTGACAATCGAAATTGCCTTGATATCGACAACGTTAAGTAAAGGAATTTGCATACCAAATATTGCAAGCGCAAATTTTGGTCCCGAATATAAGCACTATCTTATAAGGGACCAGCAATACGCAGATGCCACTAATGACTGGCTGAGTCGACAGCAAATTATTTCTCAACGGATATTGAAAGGCATTGGTATCTATATCACCAAGGTGCTTTTGTTTTCGCTCATTTCTAGTCAGTGCAATATTATCCGTCCTAGGAAATGCTGGTGAGTCCAATTCTTGCATGACAATACATCACGTTGAACACTTCTTCAGCCTAACGTTGGGTGGAACATGAATTCATATTCGTATACTCCGTATGTGCAAAACATTGCATTGGCGTGACTTAGAGGCAATAGAAGTTGCTACTATTGCATATGGACAAGGTCAAAATCCTTGTCTGCAGTGGAGATATATGCCCGGCCATACCTCACGTCCCTGGTTGAAGCAAAGCAGGGCATTTGAGGTGCGCATGCAGGGCTCACGCAAACCGGTAACTCGGTTGACCGCATCGCGTTGCGGACGAAGTAGCGTGTCTTATGTGCTACGGTCCAAGATGGCAAATCGATCCCAGGACGTGCCTTGCGATTTTCCGGGTCGGAGCAGAGGCGGCAGAGGGTAGAACGGTTAAATGGAGGGCCGGCAGTTTTTGACAATGCAGATGCTGTAAGGACCAAGACACCGGGCAGACACCTAGCAGGAGGCATGTTCCACCCCGCGTTTTGATATTCCCATTGACAATCACAAGGTACCTGCTTACCTTAGGTAGGTACTTAGCGCGCCTATAGCTTCGCCGGTTATCATGCTGACGCCTCCACGGTCGTACAGGGTTCTGGAGCAAGAAAGCTCGCGGATTTCACCGTTTGCCGTGTGCTGTTCAAGGATGTCGATTTTGGTAGATGCAGGCGTGTGGAGATTTGGATCACGAGCCCCTTCGGAAGCAGGAACCGGGGACGATGAAGCCGCTCTAGGCACGACGCTAGCGTCTAGGCATGCGGCTATGCTATCCTCTAACCAGGAAATTTCAGCAGTTTTGGCGTGCTGCAAGCGTCGTTAATTTCTGCAGTTTTGCTTGAGAGTTAGTCGGACAGTTACCGCAGGTGTAAGTCCTCCGTAGAGAAGAGGCGCTGTCGCGAGACCAGAGTGCGGAAGCGAGAGACAATCGCCGTCCACGTTCCGAACTCAACTGGTGTTAGCGGCACGTGGCTGCAGATCTCTTCTAGGGATCGGTAGACGCTGTTGTCGTCTCATGTAGCGCGGACCGTTGCTGTTTCACCGAGTTAAACACCAATAAAGTTTGGGCTTTGCCTTCTTAGGAATAGCTCCCGAAAGGGGGTAGATTCAGGGCGGCCAGTGCTCTCAATATCTCGGCTCCGAGTTGCGGACTGCACGTCTAGAAGTTAGCCGACATAAATTTATTCCCCACGGATCAACGGCCGCGTCGATCCAGGATTTTCAAAATGATTGCAATTTACGTCGTTCGGGTGGGTCTTCTCTCGGTTCAACTGCCGGCTTTGACACAAGAGATACTTTCCAATTGGGCCAGCTTGGAAAACAAGCCGGCTTCCACCGCGTGCGTAGTACGACGATTTATCCGCTCAAGCCGCTCTCCACGTGGACGTGGCCACACTCCTTTCTGTGTTGCATCTGCCTTGTCCTACCCTTTCTCCTGCCGTGTCCCTTGTCAAGATCCACCCCTCTACCGTCAGTCGCTAACCAACGAATCTTGTGCACCCTAACGCCACATGATTTGCTTCTGGCACTGCTCTATACGTTATCTCAGCTTGGGATATGCTGGCATTTGAAATAAGGCAAGACATATTTGACTCTTGCCGAAGTGCCAAAGACCAACTGACTGGGGAATGAGTTGTAGAAACCTGTGCAGCACGGGCCATATACCTGTGGCGAGGGTTGAGTTTCCGGGCTGCAGTGCTTGCAGCGAACCCACTGTCAGTTGCAGCCGTAGTCTTCCCCAGCCTGCCTACTTGGGCGATGGGCCAGACGAGCTATAATACGAAACATTATTATCCGGTGGCGGCCAGGCTTGGCACGACAATTCGATGCACCGCAACCTGACCGATTCTTGCAGTCTGGACTTCACTGTGCAGCTCTTTCAAGGCAACATGATCCGATCTACGTATTGTGGCAATACACCTTGCACTGAAATGAGCTATAAGTCCAGGTCTTACGGTGTTCTCCGACAACCTCTGATAGAAAAGTGCACCAAGTTCGCTTGTGCACCACAATCTCTTCATATTCCTTCATTTTGTCCCAATCGTCTTCTGAGCACGGTGAAGCCGCAACGCCAGGCTCGGGCTCTTCAGGTGTCGTAAAACGCACAGTGGCAGTCGTGCATATTATGGCGCCAAGTGGAACCGGTATTCATGACCTTGATCCAGCCGTTTTCCTGAGCTGGCCAACTCCGAACTATGAAAACCCAGAGACGCGCTCATGGTTTCCTGGTTACGCTATTTTTCTTTGGACTTTGACCACACTGTTGCTTTTGGCTAGGCTGTGGGTTCGATTTCGGAAACATGCGGGTGTTCTTGGTTTAGATGATCTGCTAATTGTATTCGCCTGGGTACGTTACGGCAAACTTCAAGCTCCTCTAGAACCTGGTCGTTAACACTTCTCTAGTTTTTTGGTTGCTTTTTGACCATCGTGGTTCTTATTGGCAAGTCAGAGAATCCGTCGTGCTAGATAACATTGCTAACACATATAGGAACCATCGAATATGGATTTGATCGACATACGTGGGACAACCCTTTAAGTTTATATCCGAAAGCAGGTCTGGTACGGATTAATGAAAATGCTTCCTCACCCTTAGAGGGCCGATACTAATTAAAAAGCAGATGGCATGGCTTAGCGAGCTCGCATTCCTTTTCAGCTCATGCTGCACAAAGATATCTATCCTGCTTTTTTATCATCGCGTGATTGAAGGAGGCTGTAGTAAGATTTGGGTTCGGCTTAACCAAGGCGGGATTGTTTTCACGGCCCTCTACTTCATCTCATTCTTCTTCGTAATCATCTTTTCTTGCACTCCTCCGGCGGCTTTCTGGGAGTCGCTCAGTTTTTCATACACCAAAACATTCACCTGTGCCAACGAGAAGGTTTCTTGGGCCATGTTGGGATCACTGAGTGTGCTCTCGGATCTTTACGCTCTCTTGCTGCTTGCAGCATTGCTTTGGCGGCTACAGATGCCTTTGAAGCAAAAAATTGGTCTCTTTTCCATATTTTCGTGCGGATTCCTGTAAGTCAACATCATTTTCTGCTAAACTAAACCTACTAACAAGTCTAGGGTTGTCATGGCCGGGATCATTCGCACCGTTATGCTATACCGTCTGGCGGCTTTTAGTAATGCCGATGCTACATGTATGGCCGCGGATTCCCTTTACAATGCGTAAATTAATGCTTACGTGGTCTAGGGCTTGGGTTTAACCTGTTCTGCTGTTCCCATGCGGAGTGCCAACTTGCTATGATATGCGCATCGGCGCCCGCATTGAAAGTCTTCATCTGTCGATATGGCGGCGATCTGGCCGAATGTTGCGGCAAATACGTAACAAGCCTATCCAACCGCACTAGACACATCTATCACGGGCGTGGCAATATTGCGGAGTCGTTCAATAACTCACTGTCGTCGGTTAAAGGGTCGCTTCGTTCGGTCAAGGGCTCAGTGCGCAGCGACCGGTGGATGCTGCGCCGTAAAGACGAAACACCCGATTGCGAGCGAACTCAAGAAATGACGGTATCGATGTCCCTCTCGAAACAACAAGAAGAGGCACTGCAGAGCTGGAGACCTTCGCGATTTGGGCCAGACCCTAATCAAGACTACTCCGGAACTGCAGAGATGTACGACACGAACAACCGTGGAGGTAATGGACCACCAGTGCCGCCGAAGGATGAAGACGACTTTATGAGTAACCCTAGCAGTGGTGCTGGCATGAAAGAGGTTCGAATCCGGGCCATGGTGTGATGCTGATGTTGGTGGTAGATAGGACCATCTCAATGTTAGGCCCATAGCGGTTATTGTTATCCAATAAATGTACATACGTATATTGCATATATAACAAGATTCAAATTAATAGTCGTGGAAAGTGTGGAGTTGAACTATTTATTTATCTACTACGCATCATTGCATGCAATCTAGTGATAGATAGCATGAACCCACAAAAGCTGTACTTGAGCAATGTTAAATGATGCTTGGTAAAACTCAACCATCGTTCAAAGATTTGGAATCCTGGATAATAGCAGTGGCAACCACCGGATATATACATTAATTCAATAAGGCCATTGAGAATCACGTGACCTATTGTGCAACCTGAAATTCGATTGCTTGGTCAATAAACCTCAACCCCATGCATAAAAGGATACAGCCACCCATCATGAGATTTTAAAGCTACATACGGATGGAAAGGCAGCAAAAAATTGGACGCACTGGGAATCGAACCCAGGACCTTTCCCACTTGAGCTTCGCACTTGTAGTGCAAGTTTAATGCTAAGGGAAAATTATACCACTAAACCATGCGCCCAACCATGAATTGTGGAAGCTTCAGCCGTTCAAGTAAAATATATTTCCAAAAATTATACTATGCAACTTTGACTCTGCTAAATTCCCCAATAAGTTCGATGAAGAAAAGTTCATGGTTTGCTCAAATATTCTTGGCAACTAACTATCTCATTCGACATTTCCAATACCTATAGAACCTAAATACAGGCCGGATGCAGCACCATTAATTGTTTCAGTAATTTCATTAACGCCATGCGCCTACTATCTAGGACATAAGACGCGAAATAACATGTCGAGCTGTGAAATGGATTCAGTACTTCGTACGCTGTGCGGTGGTCACAGCCGATCGCCAAAATTCCTCATATGGTTGACGCGTCATTTGATATATGAGAGTTTCTGATGGCCAAAAATTTTCAAAAGCAGTAAATACATCCCTCTCCTAGTGTTGTTGTAGCAGATCCTTTTTTTGGGGGGGCGCATACGGTACAATTGAAGGCCATGGCAATCGCAATTCCGATGTCATAGTCGCATCACAACCACAATCACCATGCGCGCCCAAACAGGGTACGATCTGCTCCTATGCCCCAGCGTCCCAGGCTGACGGCCGAACTGATAGTGAGCGCAAGTTACCTACTGAGTCTGCAGCTTCGTGTCGAGAAGCTTTCCTCGCTCTGTCCTCGTCGGACGAGCGCGAGTTGAAAATCACGCGTCGTGTGGCTTTGCAGGATGGCTTGCATAATGGAGCACCTCGCTCGGTCGCTCACCTGCGACCCGCCAACTCGCTCGCCGGTCGCCAGCTCGCTCACCACCCGCCAGCCGGCCCTCGAGCTCAAGCTGACCCTCTGTGCCTCTGTGGCGCTCGCTTCCACCCCGGGAGCCTGCGCTCGGCTGCGCTACGCTAGCCCTACTGCGGCGGGGCGCGCCGGGCGCCAGCTGAAGACCGTCGTACATCATGTGTGGTGTGGTGTTGATTTCGGGGACCAAAAAGGAAGAAAAAGTGCCAAGGCGGAGCTCTGCAGCTCGTCCATACTTCTCACGGGGAGGCGGGACACCCCCTCCGAAAAGTCTCGCACGCAACTGATAAGCTCCCTGGCGCCGGCGTGGCCTGGCGGGAAGCTTTCCTTTGTCTTAGCAGCTCTCCATTCCTCGAGCGACATTGCGGAGCTCCGTCGTTGGGCCGATCGCGCACGGCTCGAAGAGCGAGATCAGATCTCCATTTGTCCATGGGCACTACTGCGGCCACGGCCGTTAGTGACGTAAATAGTGTTTCGAACGGGAAGCAGAAACGGGAACTTTCGAAGAGCACTTATGCCCGCAATGGATATAGCAGGGCGCTGATCTCCGTCGCGCACGTTTCCCGCCCTTGACTCGGAGAATGCCTCGAATGCTTGGCTTTCGCCGGTTTATTGGGGTACAGATCGTCCCGAAAAAGCAATTCTCAGCTTCTGCATGAAGTGCTCCGCGCCTGCGTATCTATTATCAGCAAGTTTGTGAGCGGCTCGCCTTAAACGAAAAACAACAAATGGAGAAGCAACGCGGGAACATGGCCAGATTGCCATTTGCCAGCCCAAATCCTGCAGATTAGCTTGGCATTTAAGCTGAAGCGATCGTACATTTGTTAAAGGATCAGTTCTTTTGCTAGGCTGGCGATAACAGAGCTAAAACAAAATGACGTTGAAAAGCAAAGACCAATCTGAGCCGCCCTTACGCTCTGCATGGGTCGCTGCGCATTCTATTCTGCGCCAACTGCTGACCGACGCGAGCGTCTCTGCGCCAAGTACGCAGCATCATTACCGTGACACCCGTGTAGCTTAACGACTCTCATGAAGAGCTAGGTAGTTGCCTCAGAAAAAGTCATAGTGGCATGTTAAGGCAAAGGATTCGAAATTTCTTCAAGGGAATTAAAAAGCTACTGTACAGATAAAAGGGAATGTGCCGTGCAGCGGCGGAATCTTCAGAAAAGCGGATATGCCCAATCACATAGAATTAAAGTCTTCACTTGGATAAGCTGAGAACGCTCGCAAAAAAAAAAGAATGACTCGACAAATCTAGTTTCGTCATCTAGTTTGCGGGAACGTCAACTCGGAGGTTTATCCAAATTTCAATTTCCGCCCGAAAAACTCCGAACAACGATGCTTCCCTTCAGACAACCCACCCATCACCCGACTAAACTCCCGCTGTGTTGCTTTGGTTTTTGAACAGTCATTCTTTACGGCTCGTTCGGGGCCTTCTCGGTGGCGACGGCGTGGCGGTCGCCGGCAACGCCCGTGTGCTCGGTATTGCTCTCCTCGCTGGGCGCCTCCTTGCCGGAGAGCATCTGCTGGTGGCCGGCGATGCCGTGGCGGTCGCCCTGGGGCACGTTGGGCTCGGTCTTGGCCGGCTCGGAGTTGGCGGGGGTCCAGGCGAGGTAGTCGCGGCGGACCTCGACGTAGTCGTAGGCGAACTCGCCGAGCTGGTCGTCATCCATACCTAGGAGCTCAGCCTCGTCCGAGGCACGCAGCTTGAGGCCGGGGATCTTGTCGATGGCGAAGGCGAGAATGAGGGAAACGACGAAGGAGTAAGCGGTGCAGGCGACGATGTAAGCAATCTGCATATAGAGCTGCTTCCAATTGTGTTCGAGCCAGGCACCGGGGAAGGCACCAGCGTTGACACCATCAAGGCCGATGATGTAAGAGGCACCGAAGATGCCGTTGATGAAGAGACCAACCATGCCGGCGACGCCGTGCTCAGCGAACACGTCCATCGAGTCGTCGATCTTGATCCAGAACTTGACTGTAGAACAGTTAGGGATATGGCTCCAAACATGTCAATGACGTTATGTACTCACTCTTGGTGGCAAAGTTGCAAATGATGCCAGTGACGATGCCGAGGACAACACTGGCCCACGGAGGAATGAACCCAGAGGCCGGAGTGGCAGCAACCAGTCCAGAGATAGTGCCAGAGCACCAGCCGACCATAGACCACTTGCGAGCGAGGCGCCAATCGAGAACCACCCAGGTCATGGCCGAAAAGCCGGCGGTAAGGTTGGTGTTCCAGCAAGCCATGAGCGCACGGAGGTTGGCTCCAAACGACGAGCCGCCGTTGAAGCCCAGCCAGCCGAACCACAGGAGGATGGTGCCGAGGGTGATGAGAGAGACGTTGTGCGGGCGGAAGTTGAGCATCATCTTCTCCTGACGACGGCCAAGCACCAACGAGTAGGCGAGCGCAGTCATGCCAGAGACGATCTCGACAGGCCCGCCGCCGGCATAGTCGTAGACGCCCCAGACGTAGGCCCAGCCATTGGCGCCCCAAACCCACATGGCGACCGGGCAGTAGACGATGGTGGCCCAGAAGAAAAGAAAGACGAGGAGGGGAATCAGACGACCACGCTCCGCGACGACGCCCGAAACGATAGCAGCAGTGACAGAGCAGAACATCATCTGATTGTTTGTTAGCGAATGTACCGTGATTGATCACCAGTCAAAATTCGTAAAGCCCAAAACGAAAAAAAAGGTTTTCATTTGCTAGATTTTCTTTTTCTTTTCACTTTACTCACCTGATAGAAAGAGTACAGAAGATCCGGAATGAGCGGGCTACCCGGGCTGGGAGCTCCCAGAGTCTTCATCAGACCAAACTTCTGAAGGTCGCCGATGAAGCCATTGGTGGCATAAGGGCTGAAGGCGAGCGAATAGCCCCAGAAGTACCATTGGAAGCAAATGACGGAGGAAGAGGCCATGGCGGCCCAAAGCATGGAAAGAGCGGACTTCCTGCGCGCAAGGCCGGAATAGAGGAAACCCAGACCCGGTACCATTATAAGCACCATTGCGGAAGCCACAATGATGTAGGCCTGGTCACCGGGAGAGTACCATTGGTTGAGATTGATGACGTCTGCGCAGAGGGGCAGAACTCGTGAGCAATTGAACGTTGAATCTCACGAGCAGAAAGCTCACGATGTGCTCTTCCTCGCCGTCAGAGGCGCGCTAGAGCACATCACGAGCGTCTGGGAGTAAGGCAACTCACTGGAATCACCGCCAAGCGGGTCGGTGCCATTGTACTCAACTGGGCCGGACCCGATCCATGGGTACGATGCGTATTGGGACATGGTGACGGCGGGTCCGGAGCGTGTTTACGGTCCTGAGTTCTGTGGAGGAGGCGGGCCTGCGGCCGGCGAAGGGGGGAGACTAAATACAAAGAAGAGTCGCTCAAGACGGGACACCAGGACCAAGAGAGGAAAAGGTTACCCCAATCTGAATTGACTGACTGACAGCACGTCAACGTCGTCGACCAGCTGGACCGGGGCGCAAGCTCTCTTTAAAAGAGAAAGCCGGCGCGTGAGAAAAGAAAAACGTCAACCGACCGGGGGACCAGAACTCGAAAGGGCCACCTTATCTCCCCGGCAAAAGCTCCACAAGCGTCCGGCGCAGCTTCTGGGAGTGCTAGGCGATCGCATTGCATGGGCCTGCGGGCGCACGGAGCCCCGGGCGGTCGGCCGTGGGGTCGTGGCGCATCAATGGGTGCCGGCGCGAAGATCTGGCGCGGCTGCTGCGCGGTTGCTTGTCGGCCAGCCCTGCCGAGGGGGGCGAGGGGGGGTGGTGGTCTTCCCCGGGCGCGGGCCACTGCAGCACGAGAGCCTGGAGGAGAGGGGGGGGAAGGGGGTGGGCCCGGCGCACACGCGACTGAGCCCGCGGGCTCAGGACGCAAAGGGATGCACGCGTACGTGATCCTCCCGCGCCGGTTGTGGCCGTGGCCGTGGAGTCGTCGCGGGCGCGCGCGAGGTGCGTGACGCGCTCGCGCTCCTGTGGCCGGCGGGCCCAGACGGGGGCTGCGGCGGCGGTTCCTGGCCGGCGGGCTGCCGGGGCCAGCTCACGGGATCGCGCCGGTCGCGGAGCCTTGGCACGGGATGCGCGGTCCTTATCAGCGGTTTCCGTTTCATGAAGACCTTACGCAAAGCTGCAGGCATCCGGGCCGCAGCACGGGCCGCCATTGGCCTGCCCGCGCCTCCGCCATACCTGCTCGGGCCTTAGCCCTTGCGCCACCCCGGCA